CCACCGCGAGGCGTCCGGCTGACCGCCCCACCGCGAGGCGTCCGGCTGACCGCCCCACCGCGAGGCGTCCGGCTGACCGCCCCACCGCGAGGCGTCCGGCTGACCGCCCCACCGCAAGGTGTCCGGCTGACCGCCCCACCACGAGGCGTCCGGCTGACCACCCCACCGTGGAACCTCGGTTTGACAATTCCTCAAGGACAGTTCCTGTTCTGCATAATCGTGGTTGGAAGATAGCTTGGTTTTTCCATTGTACTGAATTGTTTGGCTCACAGCACCAGTCCCGAGCCCTCGTCTCTTAGGATGCTGCACAGACTGGAAGGGGTTTGCAGGCTGTCTTGGTGGGCACACCAATTGGCTGAATTCGCGAAAATCATTGCGTTTGGGGCATTCGCCTCTAAAAAGTCTGTAAGGGAACAGTGGATGCATCATTTACAGGTTAACAGAACAAATAGAAAAAGTTCATTTCATATTCTCTGCAAAACAGTGCACAATAAGATTCCAGATTTTAAATTAAAGCATCTTCAAAACAGCATCACACTCCCAGTGGACTACAAAGACAAGTTACTGTGATCATCTCGAGAAATATTCTGTACCAATAGGATCCCACAAATTGAAACTTAAACGACCAATCTGTTTTAAGTGTTCATTGAGGAACAAATATTGGCCAAACCATCAGAACAAATATCCTGGCTATTCTTCTAATCGTACTTCAATTATACAGCATTCCCTCTGATGTTACAGCACTCCTCAGTACTGCCCCTCTGCTAGTGCAGTGCTCCTGTACCACTGCACCTCTGCTAATGCAGTGCTCCTGTACCACTGTCCCTTTGCCGGTGCAGCACTCCCTCAGTACTGACCCTCTGACAGTGCAGCACACTCTCCCCTGTACTGACCCTCTGACAGCAATCCTCACCATGACCCTTTTGACAGTGTTGTGCTGGAGAGACAGTCCACAGAGTGAGTTCAACTCCTACAGTGAATTCTCCCTGCACCACCACTGATGTCCACTTTACAAACATGGTCATGAAACAAATGAGTGCTTCCTTTCCCCTGAACACTGTGCAGTGCTATAACCAAACATTGGTAGTTAATACTGATGGCTGAATGCTTGTTGTCTCACTGAATCGTGGACATCACTGCTAAGCATGATCCCAGTGCCTTTTGCGATTCTCTGGTCAGTAACTTTCAGTGAGCAGGATTGGCAAAGAGTGGATCAGTGTATCGTAATCAGTAAATTTAATACAGCCTGGAAGTTGAGTATGGAACAGGTGGATTCATAGGGCATGAGATTCTGACATGAACTGGTTCAGCGACCAGGGAAGCTGCAGAACACCAGAGATCTGAAACCACATGACAACTGCAGCTGGTTTCACCAGAGATTGGTTTGGGAACAGAATTCAGGCGCTCCCCCTGCCATAAAGTACATATCCGTTGCAGTGCAGATGTTAAATTAAGGACGTTCACCAGCTGCTAACTGTCATTTCTCACTCACTTGTTTCCTCCCGCACTGCCAACCCTCCCACTTCTTCTGCGGTGCCAATCCTCCTGCTTTCCACCTTTGCTGCCTTCTGCCTCTCCCACTCTCTCTTCCCTCTGCCTCTCCCACTCTCTCTTCCCACATGCCAGCAACTCCGCTCACCCCTTTCTTCCCATACTCTCACTACCCTCTCCTGAGTTGCTGATATCACCATTACAGGAACTGAAAAAGCAAATGTGAGGGAAATGATGAGTGGGAGGATCAGTGAGCTGGAAGATGAGGGACAGAAGTGGTGGAGAGCTGGAGAATTGGGAGATAGTGAGCTGGGAGTAGAATACAGCAAGCAGGAATTAAGTTAAAAAAGTTAGTGCTCTTAAGTTAAAAAGTGTTAGTCACTTGGTAAGATGATTCTCGTGCCAGTTAGATTCACAAGTCAGAAATGTAACCCAGCCTGATGACATTTTCTTGGGGGTAAAAGGAATTTTCATGGAGATTCTTTGGGAACAAATTAGGTACGCTAAATGAAGGGTAGTGCTTTCTGGGCCTCAAAAGGCATGAGTGTTGATAAATAGAGTCATACAGTATGGAAACAGACCCTTTGGTCCAACCAGTCCATGCCGATCATAATCCCAAACTAAACTAGACCCACCTGCCTGCGCTTGTCTCGTATCCCTCCAAACATTTCTTATTCATGTATTTATCTAAATGTCTTTTAAATGGTGTAACTGTACCTGCATCCACCCCTTCCTTGGAAGTTCATTCCATGCAAAAAACACTGTGTAAATAACTGACGTGACAAACCTTTCCCAAAGAAAAGCAATTTATCATCAAACTGATTCTATTTCTGGACATAGCATGCAAAGGCACAATAAACAGATAGGCACACAAGAGATGCTGTTCCCTCTGAGAGTATAGACACTCCCCTTGATTGCAGGTCTGTCCTGCTCCAACTGGCTGCTGGCAAAGTCTCAAATACTGCCTAAGAGGCACGAGAAAGAACAGTGAACAAGGCAGGGCAGCAGAGAGCCATCACCACTGTGAAGACCTCAGCCAGATAATCATGCAACAGACTGAAGACTGCAACTCAAGAGGAAGCAACAAGGTTACACACGGTACCATTCCAGAGCTGGACACCAAGTCTAACCAGCCATTCCAGACAAAGAAAACTAGCTCCCCAATGTACCCCATCTGCCCTCACACCTCAACCCATACACCAAAGACAATGTTAGGTCTAATGCCAGAATATTACACCTTAAAATAGAATCAAAATGTAGATGCAGGCTACTTGGCCCAGGCAATCTCTGGTCATCTTAATCTGCATTCTCTTTTCTTTAAATGATCTAGCCATCTATTCTTAAATATGGATCATCTCTATCCAATCATTGAACTTGTTCCAAAGTCATGCAACCTTCTTGGGAAAAGAATTCCTCTTCTGTTCGGACCCAAATCTCTTGAATTGAATCCTATCATACATGTCCCTTCATTCTAAATCCTTCCAACACAGCGAACTGGGTTCCATCCACTCTGTTCATTGCTTCATCACTGACTTATCTGGCCCAACAATCTCTTATGTGTCAAAGACAGCGAAGTCTTTCCTCACTTTTGTGTTTCTTCATAGCAGACATAACCTCTGAACCTGTACTTTATCTTCATAATTGCCTCAACATCTTTCCGACAGAGTTGAGTCTAAAAATACACAAATTGTGATCTGCCCAATATATATTTTGTTCCAGTTATCAGAAAACCCAGCATTCGAACTGTTTTGCTTGATAACTGACATGTCCAATTTGAGGTGTCGAGATTCACAAACTTCCAAGTCTCTCAGTTTTTTTTTATCTGTCATTCTAGATTCACTCCAGCAAACCGTCAAAAGCTACGCCCCTGCCTGAATTTCACTTCACTGTTAAGCCAGCTTCCAAACACACTGACCAAACTTTCACATGGGAATTGAAAACAGAAAATAATGCCAATGCCCAGCAGGTCAGGCAGCATCAGAGAAGCAAGAAAGATGAAGGGTCCCAGCCCGAAACATCAAATTTCCTGCTCCTCTGATGCTGCCTGACCTGCTGTGTTCCTCCAGCTCCACACTGTATCGACTCTGACTTACAGCATCTGCAGTTCTTGCTGTCTCCCAAATACCCAGCAGGCCTGATACCATCTGCGAAGAGGGTTTGCGTTGCTTGTCTGACTGAGTTCTCTGAGATGTAACAGGTTTTAGGTGTAGCCAAGGGGAGGGAAGAACAAAAGGGAAGGAGTGTGATGAGGACCGGGAGGGAGAACTTAAATGACAAAAGGGTTAACGGTGTAACTCAAAGTGATGGCATAAGAAAAGAAATAAAATGTTGGATTAGAGGTGAAAGGTAGAAGTAGAATTATCATTGACAGTTTAATTGTTCAAAAACACTATCAAGAATTTGTTCCCAGTCCCTCTTGACAGTTTGAGAATTTCACACATACCTGGCCACACATCATCTTTAAGCAAAGTGAGCAAGCACACTCTCTAACTTACCTCTCTTGCTGCTTGAACTTGGGTTGCTGGCTGTAAGATGCCTTCTGCTTTGGGCCCGGTGCACCAATTCCTTTGTTGCTGCACAGCAGACACAGACAAGAAGGTTAAGCCGACATACTGTCTTATTGCAAAATAAAATTGAATAAAGACAACCTCACCAAAAGGCAGAGATAAAACTCCCTGCAGGGAGTATATTCCCATTCTGGAATCAAATTTGGTGCACCTTCCCAATATAATTTGCAAAAACTGAGTGAAACAGAGTGACGTCCATAAAAACCAATTATAACTCTGCCACTGTCCTTACACAGCTTCGATATCGCTGATGGACCAGGAACAGACCGAATACTACTTACTCAGCTTCCCATTTACTGAGATCCTGATTTAGTGAAACTTACCTCCTGTGTGGCCCCTGCAGAAGATCCTGTATGTAATTCTGTCTTTCTATTTGGCATCCTCGGGATTGACTGAACACTGCAGGAAAAGAACCAAAGGTTAAAGAGATTTTTAAACTGCTAATCAGTGCAACATCCAAGTAGTCACTGAGGGACAAGTCAAGTAGTGAAAACCAAGAACCTACACTTGATTGCATGTCGAGGCTCCATCCCATCCACATCGATCAAGTACCTTAAACAAATCAGAAAGTGGAATCAGTGAGAGAACTACAGATGAGAATATTTCCAAGCGTGATGGATCAGAACTGAAGGAACACCGCAATATCGGGGGGCAGCACTGAGCAAGTGAAGGGCTGCTATACTATCGGCATGGATTAGTACGAAAGGAGCACAACATTATTTGAGAGGCAGAAATGAAGCAGCGCTGCACTGACACAGGACTGTACTGAAAGAGTGCTAACACTCGTGAAGGGAACATCACACTGTCTGAGATGCAGTACTGAGGGAGCATGACACAGTCTGAAGATTATTTGCGACAATGCTGTACTTGCCAGTGCTGAGGAAGTGATGCACTGTTGGTCGATCAATACCCAGAATCTTTCAGGGGTGCAGGCCTCAATGGATCATTGAGTTTGTCCAGCAAGCTGCAGAGCAGCAGACAGAGGGGCTGAGCTGGGCTGTAATAGCAGTACGGCCAGAATATGGCGCATGGACAGAAGAGGGAGAAACCTCAGTGCACGCTAATTTGATTGATGACCACTGCGGAAACCACGATCTGGACAGACCATATTCAACAGGGTGCCTAAATACCCATCATATGCAGAAGTGCACAGCACAGAAAGGAATCACTGCCATCAGCAGAACAGGGAGGGTGACAGACGTGTTCAAAAAATAACTGAAGACGAGAGGAACCAGCCTAATAACCAGCATCACCAGAGGCAAGGTCTCAGGGTCCACTGTCTCTAGGCATCCAATAAGCAGCTCCCCCAATTTAAGAGATATCAATACTTTTAATCTACAAAATCAAATCAGAAAGAGGGAGTAGTCAGAACTGTACTACTTCCACCTTGCTCACTCATGTGGTTATTGATACACCTGACAACATACCTGCAAATTAGATAGCCAGTTCTGTTAACTCCATGAGTGCAATGAACTCCAACCAGTTTATCTACAAGCAGATGCACAGAGAGAAAGGTTAAACACAGAGGGTGACCCCAGCCCAGCACCCCGCACCTTATGGTGTGTATATGTCGGAGGACTGCCTGGGCTCAGCTAGACACTATATGTGACAAAACTGTAGTGTCATAGAGTCAGTACTGAGCGAGTGCTGCACTGTTGGAATGTCTGTTTGCCCTTTTGAGGGAGATCCTGGCACAATTCAAAGAAGATTAATGGAGTTATCTCCGTGGCCTGGACAACAGTTATATGTCAACCAACATTATTTGAAAATATGATTATCTGCTTGTTCTCACATTACTGTCTGTACGAAGATGCTGTGTAAATATTTTATGACACACGTCCCAAGATTACACCAGTTACCAGACCAGAAAATGAAAGAACTTAATTTGCTCAAAAAACATTTGCGATGCCCAAAAGGTATCCTGATTACCTCACAAGGCAAGAAGCAAAGTGACTTCAGCTACACAACTCAGTCTCAGGTCCCACACCCCAAACAAGCAAGAAAGATAAAGGGGTTAAAATTGAATTAGAAATAGTAGGAACTGCAGATGCTGGAGAATCCGAGACAACAAGGTGCAGAGCTGGATGAACACAGCAGGCCAAGCAGCATCATAGGAGCAGGAAGGCTGACGTTTCGGGCCTAGACCCTTCTTCAGAGATGGGGGAGGGGAAAGGGGTTCTGAAATAAATAGGGAGAGAGGGGGAGGGGGATAGAAGATGGATAGAGGAGAGGATAGGTGGAGAGGAAACAGACAGGTCGAAGAGGCGGGGATGGAGCCAGTAAAGGTGAGTGTAGGTGGGGAGTTAGGGAGGGGATAGGTCAGTCCGGGGAGGACGGACAGGTCAAGGGGGCGGGATGAGGTTAGTAGGTAGGAGATGGGGGCGCAGCTTGAGGTGGGAGGAGGGCATAGGTGGGAGGAAGAACAGGTTAGGGAGGCGGGGACGAGCTGGGCTGGTTTTGGGATGCGGTGGGGGAGGGGAGATTTTGAAGCATGTGAAATCCACATTGATACTATTGGGCTGCAGGGTTCCCTAGCGGAATATGAGCCTTTTTGCTCCTACGATGCTGCTTGGCCTGCTGTGTTCATCCAGCTCTTCTCCTTGTTGTCCTTGAAAGATAAAGCATTGCTTGATCCCAGCTGCCCCCAGTCACCACCTTATCCCTAGGCTAGCTACAGTGGAGCAGGGCTGGTGAGCTTACCATTATCCTTGTTATCTGACAAGAATTGTTGTACAGCTTGTTTAAACGTCAAGATGGTTTTTGCATTTGGCACTTCATGTCCAGCAGTGAAAATTTTCTCGTAGACCAAACCTTTTGGCAGCTCCTGCAACCAGAGAACATTGCATTGAAAATGAGCTGGCATAACAACAAGAAAGCATAGATTCACAACTGTTATCTCCTTCAGGATCATCACTGATGACTCTGCAACTTCTGCACCCACCATGCAGCCCTGTTCCTCACCTTGTTGAACATGGAGCTCAGAGCTCCCTCCAAGCACTCCCCACGTTTAGAAGGACTGAACAGTGACATTTCAAAATTCTCTCGGCCTCCGCCACACTTCAGTGAAGGTTCTGCTCAGTGCATGTGGCATAGCCTGCATTCTCAGGTTGTCCAGCCTCAGCTCCCCTTGCACATCACTGACAAAGTAAGCATTGCCCTCCGCAGGTTCACACATCATGGAGAAAATGGTGATTGTATTTCTGAAGACAATTAAACCAAAACATTTCCTATCCCTCTTCTATCCACCTCCCACTCTCTCCCTATTTATTTCGGAACCCCGTTCCCCTCCCCCTTTTCTGATGAAGGGTCTAGGCCCGCAACGTCAGCCTCTCTGCTCCTGTGATGCTGCTTGGCCTGCTGTGTTCGTCCAGCCCTGCACCTTGTTGTCTCGGATTCTCCAGCATCTGCAGTTCCTACTATCTCTGATTCAGTTTTAACCCCACTGCGAAGCCTCTTCTACGGATGCCTAGCCTGAAGAAGTTACCCTCCTCCCTCCGGACAAACCTCAAGGGATCTCTCTCCCACTGCAACTCTCTCGTACCTCTATCCCTCTTCTATCCGCCTCCCACTCTCTCCCTATTTATTTCCAAACCCCCTTCCCCTCCCCCTTTTCTGATGAAGGGTCTAGGCCCGAAATATCAGCCTCTCTGCTCCTGTGATGCTGCTTGGCCTGCTGTGTTCGTCCAGCCCTGCACCTTGTTGTCTCATTTCCTTGACTAAAATGCCTTTTAGCAAAATCCCTCAATGGTGGCGCTTGTGAGCAATTGACATGAACTTCAACAGTTGGCTGAAATCCTGCACACAAAATTGTAACTTTAAGCAGTAAACCCCCAGCTCTGCTCTGCTCTGCAAAGGGTTAAAAGTGGAGACACTGCTGCTGTTACCTGAGGATCATAGTAACGTTTTGTAAAGGTAAGGTCAATGATTTTCCCCAATTCCTCCCTCTGTTCTTTGATTTGTCTGAGGAGGTCAGTCGGTGAGAAGAATTCCCAAGGTTGCAGCTGCCTTTCAAATATCTGAAACAGAAGTACATTAAGGTGGTTCATGAGATTCATGAGCAGTACAGGGCCATTTCCACTGTGATTTGTTCATGACAGGTGGGCATCACTGGCTAGACCAGCATTAGTTGCTCATACCTAACTGACCTCAATATGGCGGTGGTGAGCTGCTGCAGTTCTTTACACACACTGTGAACAAATAGGAGGAGTAGTGGGCCACCAAGCTTACACTATTCAAAACAATTGTCAGAAGTCACACGACACCAGGTTATAGTCCAACAGGTTTATTTGAAATCACAAGCTTTCGGAGCGGAGCCCCTTCATCAGGTGGTGAGACAGAAGCAACAGAGCATAGAACTTATAGGCAGAGAGATCAAATGATCAGACAAATGGTGTGGGTGGAGTGTCGAATACTAAGTTCCTGCAGATGATCAGTAAGTGTTGGACAGTGTGAGTGAAGTATCAGCAGCTGAATAACAAGCAAAGGGATGACGTATAACCGATTAAATGAGGCAGAGAGATAATTACAAAAAATTAAAAGTAAGGTGGTGCTGGAGACAAACCAAATGACTCAAATAACATCAGAGATAGTAGGAACTGCAGATGCTGGAGAATCTGAGATAACAAGGTGTAGAGCTGGATGAACACAGTAGGCCAAGCAGCATCAGAGGAGCAGTAAGGCTGACGTTTCGGGCCTAGACCCTTCTTCAGA